CCAGCCAGAGGTTGTGAACACTAGAGGGGTGAAGCTGCCTTGATCAACGTTCTGAATTCTCTCCCCGATTACCCTTATCTTGACGTTTTCGTTTCCCCTGTGTGCAGCATCGAGAGCTAAGTTACGGTGACATGTGGCCATGGGATCAAAAATCCTGATGTCGAAGAAGGCTCGCTGTAGCCGCGTCCAGAATCCTCGAGCACTGACGTCAACACGGGCTTCGTTGGATGTGTTTGAAGTCCTATGTTGGAAAATCTCACCGTCCAATGGAAGGAGGGTCGGTTCTACCCTGACATCACGGCAGATTTCCTTCAACATATTTGCTGTGAGATCCCTTACTCCGTCATGCCTCATGCATATGAAGCCCCCTTTCTTGCACATCATGGCGTGATCGGCGTCATAGGAAGAGCCACACACGCATTGGGAGGGCAAACCTTCCACTGGCCTACTACACCTTAGAGCAATGGAATCTGTAAATTCTTGTTTATTGAGACTGAAACCTTTTGCCCTTATCGGTAACGTAGTTAACCAGTTCAAGGCGCCCACCTCCTGCGCTATAGCTACTTCTTTTTCAAATTCTCTAGTACTTGCAACAACAGTTGCTGCAACTTATCACTTTGGCCGTGCTGTCGTTCTGTCGTAATGTACCTTCGAATCTTGTTTACTTCACTGGTAACCACCTCCCCTGTTGCGTTCTGAGCTACTACTACTATTTGTTTCCATTATTTTTTTAATATGACTTCTATCCTCCCCTAATAGCCATACCTTCGCCACCATTTTATTACCTTAAAATTAAATATCCTAATACATAAGTAGCTATCCTAATAATAATAATAATAATAATAATAATAATAATAATAACAATAATAATAATAATAATAACAATAATAATAAAAAACTAAATAAATTAAACTATAATATGCATGAAATTAAATAATAATAATATTATTAATAAAAAATAATACTAAAACCACAAATAAATAAAAAATAAATAAATAAATCAAGAGTGATAAACGCTATACAATAAGAATTTTGTGTTGTCGATATTAAGAGAAACACTTGAGACCCTGCAATTGTGTGTAAAATAAGGCAGAAAGTCAGATGAACAACCTGAGTCTTGGTCACAGTTTTTGTGGTGCCATATGGCAGCAGGGTCTACCATTAGACGATACATAAGGTTTCCAATATCTTCCCAGGTGGTAGTACCTCCCTGTTTGGTAGCTGCCTACTACCTGGCACTGTGCGGTGTAGTTGGGGGTAGTTAAGACTGGCACTGGGTGGTGGTGGTTGAGGGTAATTAAGACTGGCACTGGGTGATGGTGGTTGAGGGTAGTTAAGACTGGCCATGGGAGGTGGTGGTTGAGGGTAGTTAAGACTGGCACTGGTCGGTGGTGGTTGAGGGTAGTTAAGAGTGGTACTGGGAGTTGGTGGTTGAGGGTAGTTAAAACTGGCACTGGGCGGTGGTGGTGGTTGTAGTTAAGACTGACCTTAGGAGGTGGTGGTTGAGGGTAGTTAAGATTGGCACTGGGAGGTGGTGGTTGAGGGTAGTTAAGACTGGCCCTGGGAGGTGGTGGCTGAGAGTAAAGACTGGCCCTGGGAGGTGGTGGGAGAGTAGTTAAGACTGGCACTGGGAGGTGGTGGTTGAGGGTAGTTAAGGCTGGCACTGGGGTGGTGGTTGAGGGTAGTTAAGGCTGCACTGGGAGGTGGTGGTTGAGGGTAGTTAAGGCTGGCCCTGGGAGGTGGTGGTTGAGAGTAGTTAAGACTGGCACTGGGAGGTGGTTGAGGTAGTTAAGGCTGGCACTGGGAGGTGGTTGAGGTGGTTAAGACTGGCACTGGGAGGTGGTGGTTGAGGGGTTAAGGCTGGCACTGGGAGGTGGTGGTTGAGGGTAGTTAAGGCTGGGCCCTGGGAGGTGGTGGTTGAGTAGTTAAGACTGGTACTAGGAGGTGGTGGTTGAGGGTAGTTAAGCTGGCACTGGAGGTGGTGGTTGAGGAGTAGTTAAGACTGGCCTTGGGAGGTGGTGGTTGAGGGTAGTTAAGGCTGACCCTGGAGTGTGTGGTTGAGGGTAGTTTGTGGGAACACTGGGAGGTGGTGGTTGAGGGTAGTTAAGGCTGGCACTGGGAGGTGGTGGTTGAGGGTAGTTAAGGCTGGCACTGGGAGGTGGTGGTTGAGAGTAGTTAAGACTGGCCTTGGGAGGTGGTGGTTGAAGACTGGCACTGGGAGGTGGTTGAGGTAGTTAAGGCTGGCACTGGGAGGTGGTGGTTGAGGTAGTTAAGACTGGCACTGGGAGGTGGTGTTGAGGGAGTAGTTAAGGCTGGCACTGGAGGTGGTTGAGAGTAGTTAAGACTGGCCTTGGGAGGTGGTGGTTGAGGGTAGTTAAGACTGGCACTGGGAGGTGGTGGTTGAGTAGGACTGGCACTGGGAGAGGTAGCTAAGACTGGCAGGAGGTGGTGGTTGGGACTGGTGGTTGAAGCTAAGACTGGCACTGGGAGGTGGTGGTTGAGTATTAAGGCTGGCACTGGAAAGGTCTTAATCTAAAAGTCTTGGGTCTCAATGTGTGTGTCTAGTAGTAATTTCATGTCCAGTACTTGTGTGCTTAACTATCCTCTGTCCAGCAACATTAACCTTTCCTCCTCAGATTACCCACTGTCCACTACTTTCAACTATTCATCTATCTGTCAATTACCCACGTATCTACCGTCCATCAACACTTACCACCAGGACCTATTAAAACCTATCCACCCCTCACCCAACTATCTGTATTCCACCCATCAACCCATCTGTCTACACTGCACCCATTTTTCCGTCCACCCAGCCACCCGCATGCACAAAGGTCGAAGACTCGTGTTGTTACCTCCTGAAGGTGTGAATTTTGTGACCTTCCTGGTTAGGTCCGCGGCTTCAAAGGTTTGAACCCGACACCCGCTGCTTACCTGACGCCTGTGTGGTAATGAAGGGGCGCCTGGCTCTTCCCTGATGTGTGTGTGTGTGAGAGAGAGAGAGAGAGAGAGAGAGAGAGAGAGAGAGAGAGAGAGACTATCGTCACCGACACCGCCTCCTCCAAGAATCAGTTAGTAGATAAGCTACCATACCATCTCGTTGCTTGAAGTTTTAATTTACTTCAGAAGCCATTACCTAAAAAACTCTTAGAATCCATCATTACGTCCTATCTTTTGTGAATCAATTGAATGCGTTCTTTCATCTTTAGTTAGGAGAAAATATAATTTATATACCTTTGAGAATCCATTTTTACCTAGTATTTTAAGTAAAGATAATAGATTCGTTATCATATTTACAGTTAAAGGAGAAATTTGAAACACAAGCCTTTGAGAAACCGACGAATCTTATGTGTCAGTAAGATACATTATCTCATCTCCAGCTGAAGAGAGAAACATCCAGCGCACAAAACTCTTAAAATCTTGGCGGAAGACTTTTTCTTAATTGTTAACATCTGTTGACCTCAAAGTGATGCCCATCCTTAGGGAAAACACGCAAGGGATGTGTGTGTGTGTGTGTGTGTATTACTCTGGGACAACCTTAGCGGAGATAATTACAGTGAACACACAGTTAAGTGACGGAGGCCTGGCTGTCAGACCTCACACTTGGCATTAAGGGGCGACTGTTCGTTCGGGGGTTGAGAGTTGGGATGATGAGCTGTATGGAAGTTGCGTGTATATATATATATATATATATATATATATATATATATATATATATATATATATATATATATATATATATATATATATTCATTTGTAATTCTGAATAAATGAACAACCTTTCATGTTATATAAAAGAACATTTAATTGTGGGTCAGCTTTTAAATGGTAGTGTTGTGTAATCGAGGAAGATCTCAATTAAGTTAAGTGAAATACATTAGCGGAATTCCTGTCTGGGAGGGCGAGGGGAAAGGTCACCAGAGAGAGAGAGAGAGAGAGAGAGAGAGAGAGAGAGAGAGAGAGAGAGAGAGAGAGGAAACTCTATCTTCATAAGTATCGAAACATTGTTCGACAGTAGACAAAACCCTTGACTTCAGTGTCGCAATATTGGTCGGGCGAAGGAGACACCCGACTTACTTCCTCGACTCTGGGGTCACGGTGGGATCCTACGTCTCTTATTATTAAGCCAAGGATTCCCGGCAGGGCGCCACCACGGTAGGACTTCCTTGACCTTGTGGGAATTAAAGGGGGGTGGTGGGTATTGTGGTGGTGATGATGATTATGGTGGTGTTGACGATGGTGGTGATGGTGATGATGATGGTGGTTAAGTTAGTGGTGATGATGATGGTGGTGGTGATGGTAGCGATGATGTGGTGATTGTGGTGTGGTGATGGTGATGATGGTATTGGTAGTGGTGGTGGTAATGAAGTGGGTTGTGTTGGTATTGGTGGTGGTAGTGTTAGTGGTGGTGATGATGATCATGGTGGTGGTACAGTTCGTGGTGGTTGTTGGTGTTGATTGGTTGTGGAGAAAATCGAATACATAGTGAATAAGAGATAACATAATAACTTTAATTAAAATATAAAAGGACTGAGTACAACACGACAGGTCCATCAGCAATGTATGATTTAATAATGTTTGACTCATGTTCTTCACACACACACACACCTGAGTAAGACCCGTGGACATAACTCACCCCCACAACAGGTGTTATTGACGTCCCCACCCACACCAGGAAGTATCAGCCTCCACAGTTTCTTGTAAACTATTATGGCTATTTCATAAGTCCCTTTCCCTGACCTTCTGTACGACCCTCACCCTTGATATACCATTTTCTTTACCATCTCTGACCTTGAGTTTGCCTTTAACTCCTGACCTATCTTTCTCTTTACCTACCGTAACCTTTTGTATGACCCTGACTCCTCATCTGCCTTTCTGTGTTCATCTCCCTGACCTCCTGTATAACCCTGACCCCTTGACCCGCCTCTGCCGCCTTAAAAATTACCAGGGCATGTGATAAATACCCTGACCTTGAGGCCCTGACCCATCTCTCTCTCATACAGATCATCCGGGCATGTGCTGGATCCCCAAACATAACAAAGCGTACTCTGATGGCGGTCATTGGCAGGAACCTCAGTGTATGAGGGCCACCTGTGTCTCTTATCGGTCAGAACTCTACGTTGAGTACGCCACGTAAGTACCATACCCATTGTTATCCTTAAACCGTCCTGACGCACCTAAGCTCTTTCGCAATGTCCTACTCAGCGTCCCTCTTGTACTTCAAGTGATTATTTTAGGCAACTTATGCAAGTTTTCTTCTGTGTCTTTCTGTATGCCTGTCTGTCTGTCTCTCTTTCTCTTTAATATACTCATTCTCTCTCTCTCCATTTTTCGTTCTCTATCTTTTGGACCCTTATTATTTATACTCTCTCTCTATCTCTCTCTCTCTCTCTCTGAAGCATACACATACATACACATCTATTCTCTCTCTCGCATCCCTTCCTCCATCTTCACCCTCTCTGTGGAAGACTATAATTTATACCATAATGCACAAATCCAATATCAGTCTTAATTTACATATAATCTAGGTATAATTTACATATAATTCATATGCTAATTTGTATATAATGAATATCTTAATATCCATCATAATCTCTATCTTAGTATTTATATCGCTTAAATGTTATTGTATGTTCAAATTACTGTATGTATCATTACATTTAATTCATACCTTTTATATTAACTCCCAGGTCTTGTATTGTTGAGCCAGTATTATATTATTATTACTCTTATTTATTATTATTATTTATTATTATTATTATTATTATTATTATTATTATTATTATTATTATTATTAAATTTACCCTATGCCGGAATTCGTGAGAAGTCTTCATCATAACCTTCACAATAGTTGATGATGTAGTCCTGGTACTTCCCGGTATGGCGGTCACAGATCACACTCCCTAATGCATAAATTTAACATAAACACGCAATTAATGATCACTGGCAATTATGTTTCATGAGCGAATAGACTCATGACTGGATCTGAGGAGACAGGAAAAGACCAGAAGATGGACAGGTGAAATGAGGAAGTATGCAGGTGTTGATTAGGCGAGAGATGATGATTGTGGAGGAATATGGGGAGGGGAGGGGTGGTCTTCATCAACCTGTGTGTTGATGGTGATGAAGGAGGAGGAACACAGGAAGATGAATAGAAAAAGTTCATTCTGGTTCAATGATTTGGAATGGAATAAAGCCGACATGTAGTGAGATAGATAGATAGATAGTTAGATAGATAGATAGATAGATAGATAGATAGATAGATAGATAAAAATAAATAAATAAATAAATATATATATATATATATATATATATATATATATAAATATATATATATATATATATATATATATATATATATATATATATATATATATATATATATATATATATATATATATATATATATATATATATATATATATATATATATATATATAAATAAACAAATAGATAGGGAGGTAAGCAAATGGAGAATTAGAAAGATGAACAGATAGATATAAAGAGATTCATTTCTGGCTGAACGATCATTCAAGCACTGTGTACACACGGGGCGTTGGCGAGTTAGTGACGCCACGATCCCCATTTGCATGCATGAAAGAGACCGACAAGCATACAGACAGATAGGCAGACTGACAGATGGTATGGTTTTCTGTCTCCTCTTCCTTACGTGATGTGTTTAGCTACGCAGTACCATGGTCCACAGGCAGTACCAAGGTCCACAGCCAGTACCATGGTCCACAGGCAGTACCATGGTCCACAGGTAGTACCATGGTCCACAGGCAGTACCAAGGTCCACAGCCAGTACCATGGTCCACAGGCAGTACCATAGTCCACAGGCAGTACCAAGGTCAACAGCCAGTACCATGGTCCACAGCCAGTACCATGGTCCACAGCCAGTACCATGGTCCACAGGCAGTACCATAGTCCACAGGCAGCACCATGGTCCACAGGCAGTACCATAGTCCACAGGCAGTACCATGGTCCACAGGCAGTACCATGGTCCACAGGCAGTACCATGGTCCACAGCCAGTACCATGGTCCACAGGCAGTACCAGTCCAGCAGTACCAGTACCATGGTCCACAGGCAGTACCAAGGTCAGCCAGTACCATGGTCCAGGCAGTACCAAGGTCCAGCCAGTACCAGTACCATGGTCCACAGGCAGTACCATGGTCCACAGGCAGTACCATGGTCCACATGCAGTACCAAGGTCCACAGCCAGTACCATGGTCCACAGGCAGTACCATGGTCTACAGCCAGTACCATGGTCCACAGCCAGTACCATGGTCCACAGCCAGTACCATGGTCCACAGGCAGTACCATGGTCCACAGGCAGTACCATGGTCAACAGGCAGAACCAAGGTTCACAGCCAGTACCATGGTCCACAGGCAGTACCATGGTCCACAGGCAGTACCATGGTCCACACAGGCAGTGCCAAAGTCCTCAGCCAGTACCATGGTCCACAGGCAGTACCAAGGTCCACAGCCAGTACCATGGTCCACAGGCAGTCCTATGGTCCACAGGCAGTACCATGGTCCATAGGCAGTACCAGCCTCCATAGGGAGAGTCAGGGTGAAGTACTGGAAGAGTAACTTGTGTGTGCCTACTGGTGTCTTCTCTCTCTCTCTCTAACAGAAATGATAGAAACTATTTCTCTTTGTCTGAGTTTTTTAATTAGGGATGATAGAACGAACGGTAATTGCAGTTTTAGATCACTGAAGGAGTACTCGTATGGTGTGCCCATTTGGCGTTCCTTACTTGCTATTTCAGTCAACGGTGCTCTCTTATTTTCATCTATGTTTGTGCTATTCTTATCAACGGTGTTCTCTTGTTTCTTCTATGTTCATACTTATTTAATCGTTATTAACGTTTTCCCTTCTTTGCATCATTCAGTGTCAATCAGCTTCACTTTTTCTTTCTTTCATTTGTTAAACACAACTTCTATTTTCTTTCTTACAAAGATTATCGTTAATGTTTTCAGTGGAGGATTTAGACCTAGTAAATTTTTGTTTTTGTTTTATCTCGCCAGGGATCAGCGCTTAAACTCCAAACTCGATTTACGTGACACCTTTTTGCTGGCTGGTACCGGATTATGAGAGTGACAATATATCATGCCATCTAAGTGAGAGAGAGAGAGAGAGAGAGAGAGAGAGAGAGAGAGAGAGAGAGAGAGAGAGAGAGAGAGAGAGAGAGAGAGAGGAACGTCGTATATGTAAGGATAGGTGAGCGTGGGTGGGAAGGGAGGAGGAGGATGCAGCCTCCAGCTCTGTGACTCACTGACAAGTGGTGTTGTGTCCTGTGTCAACAAGCTTGAGTGCTGCAGTTATAATGCAGTGACGATACTGAGATTTCTATTTTATTTTTACAACTCGTACACTCTAGGATTAAAGTCGTGGACAGCCGCACGGAGCCTATACTACTGATCTCTGGCAATGAGGAACATTTTTAACTGCAATAGGGGTATTATTTTATTTTATTTTAATTTTGGTTCTTAAACGTATTAAAGATTTTCTCTTATTTTTATCATATAATAGTTTTAGCTTATAATTTCCTCATTACCAGAGGTCACCAGTGTAAGTTCCGTGCGGCTGTGGACAGCCTACATTATATTAGGTGATAAACACAGTAAAAAATAAATAAACACCTATAGTTCATTTGTATTCCACAAATTGTAGATTAGTGGAGGTGACAATTACAATAAGGTTCTTTGATGATCATCATTACAGTGAGTGGGTCATATAGTTACCACCTGCAATTATGACTCAGAATGTCCATGTTCACAGGTGCGGCGCGGTGGGTGGTGAGCCCGGGTGTAAAACTGTCCAGGACCTGTCACTGCCTTACCCAAGCTGCTGCCCGGCCGTGTCCTGTCCTGACCTCGACCCCGCAGCCCTAAAGGGGGAAGAGTATGGCGAGTTCACCAACTGGATCGGGGACTACTACGATCAGTCCACCCCCATAGCCTAGGAGGCGTCCGGGATGGTGCTGGGGAGTCCTAGGAAGAGGTGTTCTAACAGCGACCCATGAAGGGTCCAGAACGCTTCCATGGAAGGCTCTGGAAGTGTTCTAGGTTTCAAGAAGAGCTCATTTCCGTCTCTACCGTATTTAAAGCACCATAGACTTGGAACGTATTATCCCTGGAACACCACAGCCTAGGGTTTCTCAGTTAAGATGCAGTCTGCCCCTACCTTCCCTGAGCTAGGATGAACTCCCAGCTTAAGGACAATTCTGTTAATAAGCACTTCATTCCTAGGACTACCCACATAAGTAATAAAGCCTAGGGCTTTCCAGATGAAGGATGATGTTCTAGGACAAACCCCACACACGGTGCTCCTCAACCCTGGGACATACTGGTCAAGCTGTCCTACTCGTAGGGTATTATTTCTACGAAGAAGTTCAGAGTTCTTCTTCCATATTCACAAACAGGATATTTTTTTGTTTATGTAACATGTCGACCATTATTTATTTTTTGTACAGTTTGTGTAATGTGTTAACGTGGTGGTGTTGTTGAAGTGGTGTCTCCTGGCCTACAGACAACACTGATCTCTGGATGATCTCCTGATGGTACAGTCCAAGGAGTTCCATTCAGTAGTTAATGTATTTTACTGAGCAGAAACAACTAAATATAAGATATAAGCGAATCAATATGAATAGTGAAAAGGATGAACATTTTAAAAAATCGAAGAATAAATAAGAAAAAGTGAATACAGTGGATCGGTGGTTCGATTCTTGGGTGCTCCCAGTTCACCCAGCTGTAAATGAGGACATAAGTTTGCAAATTGGGGAAGTGAATGCGGTCGAGTGCAGTACCGACCAGGCTGCCTCCTTGTGTACCGAGAGCTAGTATACAGTGTGCTGTATCCTCATTGTCCGCAACGGGCAGTTATTTCTCATGGGACTCACTTTCAATGTTAGTTTGTCATTTAGGATATTAATGTTTACAGTAATGCTATCTTGATTGCTTACATACAAGTCAGAGCTCAAACATTCAAAGTTTCGTATATTGAAGTTTTTTCTTGTAACAGCAGATTCAAAACTCATTCATCATGCTGAACCAAAGGCAATACACAAAAATATAAATAAAAATAACGTCGAAATTATACCTAGACTTCCCTAACTCGATATAATCTTTCATCCCCAGTCACTTTGCCCTCTCCCTCCCCCCCGTCCCCCTTCCCCTCCATCAGTACCAGAATTATTTCACTGGAAGCTTGGAGTCCAATTTCTGTGAGGCCAAGATATAACACTCTGGGTGTACGGTGTGAGAAGAGGAGAAGGAGGAAGAGGTAGGTAAACTGACTGTTGGAACCCACAGATCATTGAGGTTCTATGCCCCGGGTCATCTGGACGGGTGAGAGCGACACCCATACGAGGCGAGGAAGATACTCCTTTAAATTGTATTATTGAGAATTGTAGGGGAGGAGCGGTGTCTCTATCCTCTACCCTGTGACGTAATACCTTATATATCATTACTACACTAAGTTGTCTGTGTTGAATATAAGGATACATAAATCTGTAATTCATTGATTTATATATATATATATATATATATATATATATATATATATATATATATATATATATATATATATATATATATATATTGTATTTATTTTGTGTGAATATATTTGTTTTCATCAGTTCTGTCAAATAGAAATTATAGTAAAAAAATTGCAATACTGTCGTTACTTATGCGTAGTATGTAGAGCATATCTATCTATCTATCTATCTATCTATCTATCTTCCCAGATGAATGGGATAGAACTACTCCATTTTTCTATTCATAGAGTAGGATATTTAATAGATTATCACAATGCCAAAAATTTACTCTTATAACTAAAAAATTATCAAACCTCTGGCAATAAAGCATTTGAAGACCAACCCTATTGGTCAGGAATTTCGCCAAAGTCGTCAAGGCTCTGATAACGTGTTACGGCTTTGTTGACAACACAGAACCGAAGGCGTCACTGCATCCCTTTTGTTCTTTAATCAGGCATAAGTACAAACTGGATCTTTATATTTATGCTGCCAGATTGATATAAAGCATACCCATATCCAGAGTAAAATATCAATACTGTTATGTAAGTTCCTATTGTAAGTAGCCCGATTCAGTGTGTCGAATCAAAGGTTCGTGAATCATCTCACTTACGTCCCAGGCAGTTCCTGTGGTTTCTCTCGTGGATTTACCAAACTGCTTCGGTGCTTCATTCTTATCCTCTTATCCTGTTCTACTCTCTTTCTGTGTGTGTGTGTGTGTGTTCGATTGATACACTCGTTCTTCAGGTAATTCGAATCTAGGGGTTCGTTGTTATTCGCTTAAATTTCGAAAGTCTTATGAATATCCAAATGGTTCGAGCATTTGTCTAGTGGGTGAGAGGTTCACTTCTCTCCCACTGGTTTACGTTGAGGTTCATCTCCCAGTATTAAAGCAGCTGGTGACAACATGTAGAGCAGCTGGTGACAACATGTAGAGAAGCTGGTGACAATATGTAGAGAAGCTGGTGACAATATGTAGAGAAGCTGGTGACAATATGTAGAGAAGCTGGTGACAACATTTAGAGCAGTTGGTGATAACATGTAGAGCAGCTGGTGACAACATGTAGAGCAGCTGGTGACAATATGTAGAGAAGCTGGTGACAATATGTAGAGAAGCTGGTGACAACATTTAGAGCAGTTGGTGATAACATGTAGAGCAGCTGGTGATAACATGTAGAGCAGCTAGTGACAACATGTAGAACAGCTAGTGACAATATGTAGAGCAGCTGGTGATAACATGTAGAGCAGCTAGTGACAACATGTAGAACAGCTAGTGACAACATGTAGAACAGCTGGTGATAACATGTAGAGCAGCTAGTGACAACATGTAGAACAGCTAGTGACAACATGTAGAGCAGCTGGTGACAACATGTAGAGAAGCTGGTGACAATATGTAGAGAAGCTGGTGACAATATGTAGAGAAGCTGGTGACAACATTTAGAGCAGTTGGTGATAACATGTAGAGCAGCTGGTGACAACATGTAGAGCAGCTGGTGACAATATGTAGAGAAGCTGGTGACAATATGTAGAGAAGCTGGTGACAACATTTAGAGCAGTTGGTGATAACATGTAGAGCAGCTGGTGATAACATGTAGAGCAGCTAGTGACAACATGTAGAACAGCTAGTGACAACATGTAGAACAGCTAGTGACAACATGTAGAGCAGCTAGTGACAACATGTAGAACAGCTAGTGACAACATGTAGAACAGCTAGTGACAACATGTAGAGCAGCTGATAACAACATTTAGAGCAGTTAGTGACAACATGTAGAGCAGCTAGTGACAACATGTAGAGCAGTTGGTGATAACATGTAGAGCAGCTGGTGATAACATGTAGAGCAGCTGGTGATAACATGTAGAGCAGCTAGTGACAACATGAAGAGCAGCTAGTGACAACATGCAGAGTAGCTAGTGACAACATGAAGAACAGCTGGTGACAACGTGAAGAGCAGCTAGTGACAACGTGAAGAGCAGCTAGTAACAACATGTAGGGCAGCTAGTGACAACATGTAGAGCAGCTGGTGACAACATGCAGAGCAGCTAGTGACAACATGAAGAGCAGCTAGTAACAACACGTAGAGTAGCTAATGACAACATATAGAGCAGCTGGTGACAACATGTAGAGCAGCTAGTGACAACATGAAGAACAGCTAGAGACAACATGTAGGGCAGCTAGTGACAACATGTAGAGCAGCTGGTGACAACATGCAGAGCAGCTGGTGACAACATGAAGAGCAGCTAGTGACAACATGTAGAGCAGCTAGTGACAACATGAAGAACAGCTAGTGCCAACATGAAGAGCAGCTAGTGACAACACGTAGAGCAGCTGGTGACAACATGAATAGCAGCTAGTGACAAAATGAAGAGCAGCTAGTGACAACATGTTGAGCAGCTAGTGACAACATGTAAAGCAGCTGGTGACAACATGAAGAGTAGCTAATGAGAACATGAAGAGCAGCTGGTGACAACATGAATAGCAGCTAGTGACAAAATGAAGAGCAGCTGGTGAGAACATGTAGAGCAGCTAGTGACAACATGAATAGCAGCTAGTGACAAAATGAAGAGCAGCTGGTGACAGCATGAAGAGCAGCTGGCGACAACATGTAGAGCAGCTGGTGACAACATGTAGAGCAGCTAGTGACAACATGAAGAGCAGCTAGTGACAACATGTAAGAGCAGTGCTAGTGACAACATGTAGAGCAGCTAGTGTGAAGAGCAGCTGGCTACAACATGTGCTGGCAGACAACATGTAGAGCAGCTAGTGACAACATGTGAGCAGCTGGCTACAACATGTAGAGCAGCTAGTGACAGAGCAGTACAGCACAACATGTAGAGCAGCTGGTGACAACATGTAGAGCAGCTAGTGACAACATGAAGAGCAGCTAGTGAGAACATGTAGAGCAGCTAGTGACAACATGAAGAGCAGCTGGTGAGAACATGTAGAGCAGCTAGTGACAACATGAATAGCAGCTAGTGACAAAATGAAGAGCAGCTGGTGACAGCATGAAGAGCAGCTGGCGACAACATGTAGAGCAGCTGGTGACAACATGTAGAGCAGCTAGTGACAACATGAAGAGCAGCTAGTGACAACATGTAGAGCAGCTAGTGACAACATGAAGAGCAGCTGGCTACAACATGTAGAGCAGCTGGTGACAACATGTAGAGCAGCTAGTGACAACATGAAGAGCAGACAACTGCAGCTGACAACATGTAGAGCAGCTGGTGACAACATGTAGAGCAGCTAGTGACAACATGAGAGAGCAGACAACTAGCAGCTGACAACATGTAGAGCAGCTGGTGACAACATGTAGAGCAGCTAGTGACAACATGAAGAGCAGCTAGTGAGAACATGTAGAGCAGCTAGTGACAACATGAAGAGCAGCTGGCTACAACATGTAGAGCAGCTGGTGACAACATGTAGAGCAGCTAGTGACAACATGTAGAGCAGCTGGCGACAACATGTAGAGCAGCTAGTGACAACATGTAGAGCAGCTGGTGACAACATGTAGAGCAGCTGGTGACAATATGACGAACAGATTATTATAACATGAACAGCTACTGATGACAACGCATAAAGCAGGTGAAGGTGGGTGCTTCTTGGGCAGGTGAGGACAGTAGTGGGTGTGGCTCAATTCTCTCTTTGCTCACATGCAGATGTCATTTCCTCGTCAAGATAATTTATCGAGTGACTCGTCGTCCCTATTAAAGTTGAATGATTAGCAAATCGACCCATCAAAATTTAGAGCAGCTAATTATTATTCCATTAACATTTAAAGTGTAGCTAATCATTGTCCTCATTTAAGATTTACAGAGTAGCTAATCGTCTCCATCAAAGTTTACAAAGTAGCTGAGTAGCTATTCGTCATCATAAAGATTTAGAGTGCAGCTAATCTTCAAAGTATACAGGGCAGTTATTTGACCTCATAATGATTTACAGGGCAGTTAATCGTCCTCATAAAAATTATAGGGCAGCTTATCCACCCTGTCAAAGATTACAGAACAGCTAATCTTCCTCATAAAGATTTACAGAACAGCTAATCGTTCTCACTGAATCGTTATAGAAAAGCTAATTCTATTCAACAAAGCTGTAGACGTAGTAAGTTATCTGGTATTGATTTTAGGAG